AGAAGAAAAATGAGCTATATGGATCTCAAAAAAATTTAAAACTGTTCCTCTTTAAAAGCTACTTAATTTGGGAGAAAAAAATGTCAAACTACTAGTGTATTTGGAATATATTCTTTCAGCTTAATAATGATTAAAAATGCTCAAAAGAGTTGGAACATTTTTTTTTTTGTTGGTTGTGAGGCTTGAACTCTGGGCCTGGGTGCTGTACCTTAGCTCTTCAGCTCGAGGGGAGCGCTCTACCACTTGAGCCACAGCGCCACTTCCGATTTTCTGAGTGGTTTAGTGGAGATAAGAGCTCATGGCCCTTTCTCCCTAGGCTGGCTTTGAACCACGATCCTCAGATCTTAGCCTCCTGAGTAGCTAGGATTACAGGGCGCCCAGCAAGATTTGAACAATTTTAAAGAATACATTATAGATAAATACAGTATAAGGTTAGCAACATCAGTAATTAGGAAATGCAAATGTAAACTACTGGCATTATGAATGGGATACTAGCAAGTGTTGGTAAGGATCTGTAGCAACTGCAACTCTTATATAACGTTGGTGGGAAGGTAAACTGGTAGAACCACTGCAGAAAAGAACTGGGAAACTTTCTCAAAAGTTAAAACACATAGGTATATATCACGGAGTGATGATCCTCAGAGAACAGAACACATCCGTCCATATGAAGACTCATGTTCAGCATGACTATAGACCACACAATACGACGAGTCTCAAAACATTACTCTGAGTAAAACAAGGCAGGTACACATGGTGTACAAGACAGTGCACATGGTGAAATTCTAGAAAAGAGAAATCTAATTTTCAGCTAGAAGCAGATCCGTGTTTGGAATGAATGTGTGAATGGGATTGAGTGGGAAGGGTGCAAAGGGAACTGTCTGTTGAGAGAAATACTCTAATACCTTGACTGCAATGGTTGTGGTGACATGGTGATGCACATTTGCCAAACACTACAGAACTTTACATAAAACATGCCATTTTATTGTGTATCAAGTATACCATAATAAAGTAGACTTAAGCACAAAACCGAATGAAGCATTTGCATGTCTTTTCTTATTAACTTCTTCTTTGGACATCTACAGAGAACTTCTCAACTGTGCGATACAGGGAAAGCAAGCTACTACTCTGCACAAGGGAGTTCTTACACCAGTGAATCGAGTGACCTTGACTGGAATGAATGCATTCTATACGCACGCATGAAGCTCACTATGGGCCGGGCATTACACTAGTTTCTAAAGATGCAAAGCTGTAATGAAGCCATTTTTGTCCTCAAGAAACCACAGTCTACCCATCTAGAAAGGCCAGCAAACACAGGACTGCGATAAAGCACATGTGTAAGTTAGAGGGAGAGGTGTACTCTTCCCTGATGTTGCTACACCTGAGCCGGGTTTTAAAAGGGAACAAGTTAGAGTTCAACAAGGAGACAAGAGGAGGCATTCTGAGCAGAGGTAGCTGTACAGACTAAGGGCTAAAAGCAAAAGATACCCCTGGGTGAGCTACTCCAGGTGGCTTACAGGTATACAAGACATGGAACTTCCCTTCTAGAGTATGGCTGTGTCTTGGTTGAAAGTAGTTTTTTTTTTTTTTAATGCTACCGTAGTTTTAACAGTTGTAGACCTGAGCTCTTTACCAATGATACCCATACCAGAGTGCACTGAAAGGAAAAGAATTACCGTTATGTTAGAATCCTTTCTCTTGTAAAGAAGATTCTTGGGCTAATGTCAGCATGGTTCAGAGAAAGCCTGGTGGAGTATGACCTGAAGATCAAAAGGGACAAAGAGGAGCTTTTCACCCCCTCATTCAGAGAAGATGGTAAGTACTGGGATTTGAACTCAAGGCCTCACACTCAATAGATGAACACTCTACCACGCAGCCACACTCCCAGCTCTGCGTTTCTACACAGGCTGCATCTTTTCTGTTTTATCCTTGCTTTCCATGAAGGAGTAAACCAAAGTGTTGTGATTAAGTTCCCTTGGCTCACACAGATGGCTCACCTTCCCAAATCCCCCCAGTTTCTGTAGCTGGAGGGGTGCAAGGTGATTATGGATTAGCCCAGAGACTACAGGGGTGACAATCAGCCTCACCTGAAAGGTGAAGCTCCAAAGAAATATTCCAGCAAGCCAGGTACTGAGGAGGAGTGCGCATTAAGTGGAAGGGAAAGAACATTCCCAAAGCCAGGGGACATGTGGACAAATTTCCTCTTGCATCTCCCACCCCTAACCCAAGTCAACCAGGAACCTCCTGTGACGGCTACTGCTCAATCTTCTGAGCACCAAAGGAGAGCACGAGGTTTTACGAGAACAGAGTGTTCTGAATGGAATCTTGAAACATGGAGATGGGGTGAGCACCCAGGGCGGCTGAGGAGCAGCCGGCAGCCTGGAGCGGCTAGAGTCCAGGATGCTGGTCAGTGTGGGGGGCACGGAAGCAGCAGGACCAACCCGTGGAGAATCATTCCTGTGCTGCAGAGCCAGGGCACAGGACACACCCGCAGCCCGCGCCTAGAGAACGGTAGGAAAATCTACTCTGTGGCAGGGGGAAATTAAGAATGGGGATGAAGCTATGCTCTCAAGTAGAAGACTAAAAGGACTGAGGGTGATGTCCTCTATTTTCCCTGTGAAATAAGAGAACACAGGGGTGCAGTTAAGCCCACTTTGGGAACTGAAATGAACCAGAACACTGCATTGTCAGTGTAAGGTCAGACTTCACATATTATACTGATGGGTGAAGTGAAACCCGGGAGAGTCAAACACAACTTGCCTCTTAGGCTACCTTACCACCAGTGCCAATGTGCTGCTACCAGTGGCCAGACAGGCAGATCCTGTGATCATAAGCAGCGCAGATCTGAAGGGGTGGCAGTGACTGGCAGGGGAGAACAGCAGTGGAAGGTGGGGGGGGGGAGGTGAAGTCGTGTGGGAGGTGTGGTGAGAGGGCATGGATGAGGCAGCCTGGTTGTGCCTGGTACAATGTCTTCATTGCAGCTAAGAGCAGCACATGGCATAGCACTGTGTCAGCACAAGTCATGCTGTTACCCACAAAGTCTGTCTTGGGAACTGAGATTTACAACTACTGCCTAGAGCCACCCGCATCAAATGAAAGGATCTGCTAAGTATGGTTCACTTGTTAAAAAAATTGACAAATGATCTAGAAAAATAACAGAAATGCTAATGAAGCTGGACCTATTTGACCTTTAAATGGCACATACAAATTACTAGTACCTTATCAACTAACACTTGTCTTCTATTTGCAAAGCTTGATGCTTTGCCAATTTTTTTTTTTTTTTATAAAAAACCACTTTCAAGTATATTTTCTTTGTGGTGCTACACAATGCTGTGAGATGAACAGGGCAGATGCAATAATTGCTGCTGATGACTGCTTCCACCCTGCTCCCGTGCAGACACAGAGGCTGAATTACTTAGGGACTGACAGCTAAGGCCAGAATCCTCCAATCTACACCACTGGCATTCCCTCTTCTTAGTAAGCTCAACTATTATGAAGAAGAAGCCAAAACAGTCCCTCAAAACGCACACGCGTCCTTGTATGTTTGCCATTTCCGCGGGGTGAGGGAGGAAGGGCCAGCAGCCTCGCTGCATGCACACACAATGGCAAAGCACAGGATGGCGAACTTAGTACCTTCCAAAGCAGTGAGATGGGATTTACAAAGAACGAATCACAGAGCTAATGAAGTACCTGCACCGGAGCATAGAGCATGCATCTTCAAATTAACAAGCTTCACTTGTGCTACATTTCATATAATTTCTAACATGTGCTGTCAAAACAAAAGATTCCTGGGCTGGGTGTGGGGGCCAGGCCTGTGGGGCGTCCTCCCACCTAGGTGGGAGGGGGATAGGGATGATCACTGCTTTAAGCTGAGACCCCATCTTAAAGAACCAAGCAGATGTGGGGTACATGTAATCCCAGTTACTTTGGAGGCCAGCTGCAGGCAAAAGTGATATTGAAGCTAAAAAATAAACTAAAGCAAAGAAAGGGCTAAGGGCATGGGTCACGTGCTCAAAAACTTGCCTAGCAAGAATAAGGCCCTAAGTTCAAATCCTAGCTCCACAAACTAAAATTAAAAAAGAATTCATGACGTACATTTGGATGGAACTCTGCAAACTTCTAGGCAACCCATAATATCTGAAGTAATCAGCATCCTGAATTTGATTTTAAAATGAAAAGATAGTAGGTATGTGATTTTTTTTCACATATTACTGAAACAGTAGGTCTTTAGAAAGTACTATAAAATAAGACCACTTACAATAAAGGCCAAAAGACCTGAGGCCTTCCATAATGTCTTCTGTTCTAGAACAACTGTCTTTGCCCCAGACTCAATCCTGTGAAACCAAACTCAGTAGGTGGGTGTGTTTTGAGTCTCCATTCCCTTCACGCACCTCCCCCCCCCCCCCCACCCTCCCAGCAGGTGTCCCTCTATTTTTCCAAGAAAACAATGTGGCCACAGATCTTGAGTTGAGGCTTCTAAGCAAGAGACTGAGAAGTACAAAGACTCTCTAGACTTCTCTGACTTGCTCAGCATGAAGACTAATAGTCTTCACATCGGATGGATTTTATTTGACATTCTCCGGTAGAAATGCTCAAGGAGAAATAAAATGGTAAGGGAATCTAGAAAATCCCTAGGAAGTGACAAATTTATAAAAACAACATTTTTCAATTTTACTAAAGACATTATCTTGCTCAAGTCTTCTCACCTTTTATCCCATGCCTGGATCTGAGTGTAGAACAATTTGTAAGATGAAAACAATACTCCATGTAGGGTAAAGTTACAGACTAACATAAAAAACCTGTCCCAGAAGTTCCATTACCTCTTGAAGTTTATTACGGCGTGTCTTCAGTGCTTGTTGCATATCTTGTTACAAGTCAGAATTGTATACAGTGTGCTCAACTTAGCAGAAGTTGTGTGTATTGCTTCTCTCTGGACAGTCAGTCAGTGGCATGCAATGCAATTTTTGGTGTGTAGTTATTGTTTCAGAAAAACTACTTAGCTCTAACTGAGGCGGGAACATGATCTTTATTGGCTTATATGCAAAGTTTAATTTTGGTTTTATGCAGAGTTTGCATAGTTCATGATTAGTTTCTAATGAAAAACTAGCTGTGTTGTCAGTGACCTTGAAGAAGATCAGGTGACAGTAGCAAACAGAAAAATTTGAAGAAGAGGCATAACTTTTAATGTAGAAAGGTCAGCAAGAACTGCCTGAAATAAAAACACAAAAAGAATGGTTAACACCCAATCAAGTCTGATAAGGCCTAACAGGAGTACTATAGCAATGTAATTTGGGTACGAACACATTTTTAGATTCTACAGATTCATCTAACTCTCTGTACCCAAGCTACAGCTTTCCTTCTCTCTCCTGAAGCTCTGAGAGTTGGTGCTCAAAAAGCTAAAATGTGCAGTGGAAAATAACCTGTGCCTTAGCCTTGAGCCTTCTTCAAATATACAAGTAGCAGGAGTTTATACGAGGTCTACAATTTCAACTTGCTTCTATAAATAATTGTACACTATGAATCCCCAAGCCGTTATCTTAGTGTAGGGAGTATGTGATTGCAGGAAATCATTTGAGTGAGAAATAATGTCTATCCAGTCACAAGATACATAAACAAAGCATGAGGGCAGCTATTTTGAGGATAAAATGTGCATTTCTTAAAGAGAATAAGTAAGAGAAATATGTCAAGCACTGTTTAATTGAACCATATTCCAGATATAAGTTACATCACTGAAAAGCAACCAGTATTATATAACTGACTGGCAGTTTAAAATAACCTCAAAAAGCCTATGGGTCTGTACTGTCATCCAAACACAGCCTCTCTAAGCACTTCATTGACTTCTTCTCTGTTCTGTAAGTTTGACAAATGAACATGAGAATAATAAGGACATGTAACAAACCCAATAGTTCCTATTAAAATGAGCAGGTATCTAGTTTCCTATAATGGCTATGGTGGCTTCCTACAATAATCCTGTTTATGACCCACTCATAAGAAGGGTTGTTTCCAAGTGATTTGGGAAATGTGAGTCCTGAATAGTACAGAGCTGAGAATTTACAGGCTTTCCCCAAGTTACAGAGTTCAGCCACCAGTACTGTGTGCGCTTCTGCATGGGACGGTGACACGCCTGGGCCTGGCAGTGTCGCAGGAGCGTTTTCCATCCCACGGAGTGAAACATATCCTCACCTCAGCTGCGGCCAGTGATGTCACCTCCATCAGGTTCACTGCTCGGAAAGCAAACACGGCAGCTGCCAGGACTGGAAGAGAATGCACACCGTGTCAGCTGCTGGCATCTCTGCCACAGCCACAAGGACGGCTCAGCGCAGTGCCCTGCACAGCTGCCTGCACACTCGCAATCACGCCTGTGACGCGTGGAAACTGTCTGCGCCCGCCCGGGAGGGCGCCTGCCTTCCCACAGTGTGCCACCCACACTGAATCCCACAGGACTGGGGGACAGGGAAAGCCAGGGCTTTGAAAAGTATCATCTCTGTGACTGTAGTTACAAACTGATTGCCTGAATTGAAACTCCTCTTACACCCACTTAAAGATAATATTACGGAAGTGCATTGTGGTTCAAGTGGTAAAGTGCTAGCCTTGAGCTGAAGACTCAGGGACAGTACTCAGGTCCAGAGTTCAAGCCCCACGGCCAACAACAACAAAAAATATTTGAAATATTATAATAAAAATCCTATTGAACAAAAACCTCCATATATTGTCAGTGGCCACTGGAAGGAAGGAAGGAAGGAAGGAAGGGAGGGAAGGAGAGAGAGAGGGAGGGAGGGAGGGAGGGAGGGAGGGAGGGAGGGAGGGAGGGAGGGAAAGAACAAAAGAAGGAAAGAGTCATACTAACACACAATACGTAGAAGCTACCATTAACCCAAGCAGCAGAATGAATGAATGACTCTGGAGCCACACAATAACCCATGTAAGAGCTGGCAATACTGGGTGGAGCGGGTGTGGCCTGAGGTGACAGCACACCCCTCCCTCCCGCCCCCACTGTCATCACCAGCGTTGCTAGTACATTCTTCACGCAGCAAATCACCGATGTTTGGAAAACTAATGGTAGTAAATATTCAAGTTATTTGGAAGATTTTTTTCCTAGAGATATTGCATAGGTAGTGAAAACATAGAATTCAAAAAATACACTTTTACTGTGAGATTAATAATAGAAGTTCATTTCCATACGAGTGTGGAGTTAAGAAATATTGTTAGTCCACTTCACTAACACAGAAACTGAGGCACAGTGAATTAGTGGCATGTTCAGGGCCACATAGGTAAAAAGTGGCAGAGTGGATACTTAACCCTGGCCAAAAGCCTGTCACCTGGCCACCATGCAGCACCAGGCAGTAAGGACTCTCATCCTGGCATGGAAATCCATGTGCTAGTTTAGGGAGGACTTGTCTGCTGCCCGTCAGAGGCTTCTGCAGAGAAGGCATGAGGGTGAGGTGTGGCGGTCCTCCGCCCTGATGGGACGGTGGGTGGGTGGGTGGTCGTGTGTAGGAGTGAAAGTCAGGAGCCAGGCTTCTTAACTTTCCAGACAGGGAAAGCCTGGGCACTCTTCCAGGGGACAAAAGATTTAGGACAGTTTGTCAGAAAGCCTTAGAACCAGGAAGGAGAATCTGGAGGGGAAAAAAGGGAAGAAAGTAGAGGTATGGCTCAAGTGGTAGAGCACCAACCTGGAATGAAAAAGCTAAGTGGAGGCTGAGGCCTTGGGTCCAAGCCCTATTAACTAGAACAAATAACTATAAAATAAAATAACATTACATCCAAATGCTGATGTCTTACATCTGAAGTCATACCACTCAGGAAGCTGAGATCTGAGGATCATCATTTGAAGCCAGTCTGGGTAGAAAAGTCCACGAGATTTTTAAAAAAAATCTCTAATTAACCAGCAAAATGCCAGAAGTGGAGGTGCGGCTAACATAGTATAGCACCAGCCTTGAGCGAAAAAATCAAGTACCAGTCAGGTATGAAGTTCAAGCCCCAGAGCTGGCATCTACACACAAAAGAGGGTAATGGCAGAACAAAATTTCATTAATCTAACCAAAGCATCTCCACGAATGCATGGAGATATCATGGAAGCCCTTATACAATTTATACTAATTAAAAAAGATGGAACAAAAATTGAGTTGGCTGGGATTATTCAGTGATAACAAGGGATACAAGAGCTGCTCAGGAGGCTGAGATCTGAGATGCTTATCTCCAATTAATCACCAGAAAACCAGAAGTGGCACTGTGGCTCAAAGTGGTAGTACTAGTCTTGAGTAAATGAGACGTACAAGTCGTTATGTCGAAAATGAACTTTACAAGTTTGGTAGTGGGGGGAGGAGGATTGGGGGGGCAGGGGGAGGATGGGATGGGAAGGGGAAACAAAGGAGGAGGCTACAATGCTTGATAAGAAATGTACTCATTATCTTGCTTATGTAATTGTAACCCCTCTGTACAGTATTTTCACAATAAAATAAATAAAGCTCAGGGACAGCACCCAGCCCGAGTCCAAGCCCTTACCGCCCCCAATCCCTCCCTCCCTCTCACAAAATCTGGGTCAAAGAATTTTCTTGTTAACTGCAAAGAAGACAAGTGCTGTGAAGTTCTGGACTTGCACGACTACCAGAGTAGCAAAGAAAACCCTTTCTTTCTGTGGGTCAGCAATTCTTTATAGTTTCCCACTAACTGCAGCCATATTTTAGACAGGGAAGACATTTTAGAGCTAAGGAACAGAATCCCTGCTTTCTTCTTGAGTATAATTGAACCAGAGGCTTGAAGAAGCTTCTGTTGTAGTGGGAAAGAGTTCTGCAGTGTAGGAGGCTACTTTTCTAAAGGTAGATAAGAGGTGGGACAAAACAAGTACACTCAGCATTCAAAATACTATGTGCTCATAACCTTTATTCATCTTGGTATCACATCACACAAGTTCCTTTCTGTTTGCTTCATGCTTAAGTCTGCTCAGCCCTTCTGCAGAACAAGAGAAAGGATCTGTATTTTGAGGCTATATTCAACCGAACCTGATCTAACAAACTATATACCCACATTGACTATAAGTTCTCTCAAAGTGAGATTTTCCGTGTGTGTTTTGGTGTGTGTGTGTGTGTGTGTGTGTGTGTGTTTTGGTGTGTGTGTGTTTTGGTGTGTGTGTGTGTGTGTGTGTGTGTGTGTGTGTGTGTGTGTGTGTGTGTGTGTGTGTGTGTGTGTGTGTGTGTGTGTGTGTGTGTGTGTGTGTGTGTGTGTGTGTGTGTGTGTGTGTGTGTGTGTTTTGGTCCTGGGCCTTGAACTCAGGGCCTGGGCACTATCCCTGAGCTTTTTTGCTCAAGGCTTATGCTGTACCACTTGAACCGCAGCTCCATTTCTGGCTTTTTGGTGATAGAGGATAAGAGTCTCATGCACTTTCCTACCTGTGCTGGCTTTAAATCCTGATGCTCAGATCTCAGCCTCCTGAGTAGCTTGGATTACAGGTGTGAGCCACTGGCACTGGAAGCATTATTGAATATATTTTTGAAATGATAACAAATGTCATATATGACGCTCTCAAAAGTTTCTGGCAAACCCAGAGGAGAGTTATTTGGTGAAAAGTCTAAACTATTATAATTTAAGAAATGGTAGCAGAACCTCAGTCTTGAAAATAAGATGTTGGGACAAGGTAGGGATGAGAAAGTAAAAAAAAAAAAAAAATGATGACAGGCCAGGTGCTGGTGGCTCATACCTGTAATCCTAGCTTCTTAGGAGGCTGAGATTTGTGGGTTGTGGTTAAAGCTAACCTGGGCAGGAAAGTCTGTGAGACTTGTCTCCAGTTAACCCAAAAGCCAGAAATGGAGCTGTGACTCAAGTAACTGAGTGCCAGCCTTGAGCTCACTACCCAGGCCTAAAGTTTAAGCACATACACAAAAATATTCTTTTCAAGTTCTCTGTTCTCCAACTATTGTATAAATCTAATTATCATTTGAATATTCTAGTAGTCCCAATGATAAAAGTAACAGAGACTATTATTGTACATCAGGGAAACAATATAATTAGTAAGAAATATATGCCTTGTATGCTGTTATACAGTTGCCTTGGTACATATATGTTATATAAATGGCTAAACTATTAAATACACATGAATCTATGGTTTCATGAACTTTTTTAAAAAATTGGCATAAGAGAATACCTCAAAGGAACATTTTAACCAGCAGAGCAGAAATCAAAGACTTTTGGCAAAAAAAGAAAAGGTTTCAAGTCCAGTATGAAACAAGGTCCAGAAGAACTGGGACTGTGCTTTTTAGGACACCCAGTTCCAGTCTGTTGTCGAGTGGCTGAGGAGGGGCACAGAGCAGAAGGGAAGGGAGATGGGCAGGGAAATGCATCTGTACTGTGCTGTTGGGCCTCATAGGTCATGGAAGGTATAAGCCCTGATTAGATGAAAAGAAGAGGGGCAAAGAGGAAACTGTGATCTTTCCTGGGAGCCAATAGGAAGTCAGGAAGAACAGGGACCTTTACAAACATGGACCTCACAAACAAGCACTTAAGTCTTACCAGCAAGAATTTCCAGAGAATTGTATCCTAGGATTCGATCCCACAAGAGCAGGAGTTGGTCTGTAGCTAAGTATCCAGAGAAAGCTCGAACCATCCACTTAAATGATATGCGGAGTCTGCAGACAAAGTAAAAATTAAGTTTACAATGGATTTTTCTTCTTACAAAAAGGCAGTATCAGAAAACCCAATCCATTCTATTGTTAACATAGCTCCTTCAAAGGTCTTAGAAGTCCGTTGATCATTTAAAGTTGAAGTCCCTTCTTCTAAGCTATAAAAGTACAATCAGTGATCTTACATAATTCAGAGGAATTATTCTGTATCCTGGACTCCCCCTCCCCCACTTAGGTTAGAAACCCTTCGAAATAAGGACAAAATTAACAACAAAATTATTTCTACCTTGATAATCAGAATTTACTTAAATTTTGATTTAATACACATTTGTAATATTAGAGGGTTTCTTTGTGAAAATTACATACACACACATACTATGTAATAATTTACATAAATGCACACACTATACAATAATTTCCACATAGGTACACTGGACCTGTTCTAAAATTTTCTAAGAATTTTATATTTTCTTGTTGTTGTTTTTTGATGCTGGTCCTGAGCACTATCCCTGAGTTTTTTTCACTCAAGGCTAGCACTTTACCACTTTGTGCTGCAGTTGTTTTTGGTAGTTAACTGGAGATAAGAATCTCATGGACTTTCCTGTTTGGGCCAGTTTTGAACTGAGACCTTTAGATCTCAGCCTCCTATGTAGCTAGGATTACAGGCATGAGCCATAGGCTCCTGAAAAAGAATTTTAAATCTCTGAAATAAAATTGTTCCAATCATAAGTCACTTAAATAAATTTGTACCTTAGAAAACACTACCAGAATCTTATTACTAACAATGAGCCAAATACATTCAACCTAGTTTTCTTTTTAAAAAGACTAGTTATTAGCTCATCTAGTTCAGTTGTAATAATAGAAAACGAGTCCAGTTTACTATCAAGTTTAAGGAATAAAGACTTGGGCTTAGTTTAACATATTTCTGCCACATTCCTCCTACCAGAAACAGAGCACTCTTTTAACGGCAACAAAGGAAAGAGAATTAATGGACAATATGAAGTAGTTTTACAGACAGCATTTCTAAAATTTCTGAAATCCACTGGCGCTTTACACAGAAGAGATATGGTGTGCACGTGTATGCATACACACATGCCACTCTTATTTTCTGTTTTCTTACAACCCTTTCACCTTGAAACAACTCCGTGAGGCAGCAATTTTCTTGATTTTAAGATAAAAAAAAATCAAATTATCTTGATTTAAAATGAAGCATGCCAGGCATAGAACCAGGGACAAAAAGCAAGACACTTCATTTGAAACCATGTGAACAGTAAAAGACTGGAGTCATGGCTCCAGGGGCAGAGAGCTTGCCTGGATAGGCCAGTGCTTAGTCACATTCCCCATGTGTCAGAGACAAAGCACAGAAGGAAGAAAGGGAAGAAGGAAGGGAGGACAAGGAGGAGGGAGGGAAGAAGAGAAGGGGAGAGGGAGGAAGGGAGGGAATGAAATTACAGCACAAATTAAATAACTTTACCAGGATTGTACAGAACAGAATTTGAACCTGGGTTGAATTTATGACTAGCCAGCCATCTCATCAGCTGTGAGTGGAGTATGGAGAAGATAAGCATTCTATTTTTCATTAATTCTTCTGTGGCCTCAAAAGATTAATGCAATTTCTTTTTTTTTAAGAGTTTATTTAACAAAGAGGAAGTAAAGGCCACTGAGAAGAGTAAGCAGTGAGACCAGAAACAGGCTATCCCTGAAATTTCATATATATTCGCCTTAATAGTGAACATGGTTGCTCAGAGAAGAAAGGCTCAGAATGTTGATAAAAATCACTTGGAAGTTTCCATTGCTGTAGTCTCTTTAAAGAGAGAGAACCAACCAGGCACTGGTGGCTAACGCCTATAATCCTAGCTTCTCAGGAGACAGATCTGAGTGTTGTGGTTCCAAGACAGCCTGGGCAGGAAAGTCCTAAGTCTCTTATCTCCAAAAAGGTACTCAGAAAAAACAGGAAGTGGTGTCCAGAGCTCAGGCCCTGAGTTCAAGCCCTAGGACTGGCAATAAAGGAAGGAATGAAGGAAAGAATTAAGGAAGGAAGGAAGGAAGGAAGGAAGGAGGGAGGGAGGAGAAGGGGGAGAGAAGGAAGGAAGGGAGGGAGGGAGGGAGGGAGGGAGGGAAGGAACCAACATTACTGATATCTAGTACTACTAAATATAGTCACATACTGTCATCATGAATGAAACTTCAGCTTTCAGAAGGAGAAATCATAGGACCAGGACCATCACTGGTCTTATTTCCTTTAACAAGAGACAGCAAACATTAACCTATATAGTTTTTGTAAGTTGTCCTTTCATATTAATCTACAACTCAGGTTGAATTTGTTTTCTTCAAACAAATATTTGCCTCAGTTTTGGATAATATGCTCATTATGAATAGAAATTAGTTCAATTTGGTGATTTTTGTACCAGACACAAAAATCTTAGGACACAAGACTTTGATTAGGACACTGGTAATTCTTCCAAGAATTTTCTTCTCCTGCTCAGGACTGAATGAACCCAGCACCTCACACATGGTAGACAAGCACTCTGCCATGGAGTTATGTTTCCAGCTCTCTTCCAGGAAATTTCTGCACAGGATAGTTACAATTTTATTATTTTATAATTACTGTTTTATTGGGAAAATTGCTGGTTTAATTTCCCTAAAGAATTACTACATCTCCATATGTAATTTGCCATAATGATAAAAGAGCTTTCTGTATTTAAATTTCACCATGGTAACAAACTTGCTGCAGAGAGAGAAAAATACTCACGGTTGAGCCCCAATTTCCCGCAGATGATAAAAGAGTTGGGGGAGATATGTTTGAAGAAGGGTTTCAAACAGCAAACAGAGGGATACAATGCCCTGGTTACAATCAAAGACAAAGAATTTAATGTTCAAATGTTAAGTATGCCAGCAGCTTATTCAAATAGAAGATGAATATTCACACTGTATTTTATCGTTCTTTATGAACAGTCACACTTAGGGATCTGCTGAGTCACTTTTTAACCACAATCAGGGCCCATGTACATCCCCAGGCAACAGCTGGGGAGTCGAAGGCTAACATTATTTTACAGAAAGCCTGCTACTTTCTTGACGCATGCCAATTTCCAGGTATTTCCCCAGCACTGCAGGAGCTTTGTTTACTCTGTCCCCATAAGTGCTTTCCCCCCTACACTCACCCTTTGGGGAAAATACTTCCTGTTCTTCTCATTCTTTCTTTCAAATCTGTACTAGGAAAAATCCTGTTTGCTGACTGCTTGAAATTTGCATCAGGAAATTATAAAACCAGAATGTCTGATTGCTTTTGCTTGCTTGGTAGATCTACTTCTTAAAATGGCTATTGTATAAAAAAAAAATCAGACATCAATTTAAGCAGATTTTTTTTCCAAGTGTGTTTATAACTTGACAACTTCTAATAAAGTCTTTCTTGTAAGTCAGGATTCCCTGGGGTTGATCCCAGTAAGGAAGTTTCAATCCTCTTTGTGCATTTCTAAGGAAATCAGGCTGTTAAGGCTCTACATGGTTCACTCTGGTTGCAAGCCAGGTAAGGAGCCAACCTCCTGTCTTTATTCTGCTAAATAAAGAAAGGGTAGAGGCAGGGCTGGCCCAATCAATTAGCTGAAAATGGATACCTCAGGGCTAGCTGTAAGATACAGAAGAGAGATCCCTAGTTTCTCTTCATCAGGCTTCAGTGCAGCACCCTGGAAAACTATGAGGGGGTGTGCATTGTGTAGCAGGTTTTTCTTTTGCTTTAAAATTCTGAAGCATCCAAGATGTACAGTAGGAAGGTAAAATATGATACTGTGAACTGTTAGAAGATAGAATATTGTGATTATTAATGTACGAAAACTAAATCAAATTCACTTGTCAGTGCTCTGAATGTTTATCTGTGCCATCTTGGAATTCTGTTGTTTGCTAACATTCACAAGCAATGTTAGAGAGCAGAACTGGAGACAAGGATACTGGCTGGGGTAGGAATACATAGTCTTAAACTTGGGGGACAAAAACCTAGCTATTTGATTTAGTAGCAGTAACATGATCTTTTCTTCAGAGTAGTTTGGTAGGCTTAATGTACATTCCAACGGAATATTTTTCATGGAGAGGCTGCCCAGTTACCCACAAGCAGAACTAAGCAGATCCACAGGGGAGCAGCATAAGTGGACACGGTAAACACTGCTTGCCTCCAGTTAGTTCAGGAGGTGAGGGAGCAGAAAACAAACCTTTCCACGGTCAGTAATTATGTTTTTCCCTCTCTCAGAGTGAAGCTAATACTAGTACAATAACTGAAACTGACAAATAAGACAAATCTGATTTTCATTATGAAAGAAGCAATAACAACAAAAGCAGCCATTTCTTTGCTGAGCACTAGCTGCGAAGTTCCTGGTGCTGTACAGACTTCCTTATGGCACTCAGGTGATGGAGTGCCGACCTTACTTCATAGATAAGGAGAGGCATGTTTTTATTTATTTTTGTTGGAGACCAGAACTTGAACTTGGTACCTGATGCTTTCACTCATTGGTTCGTGCTTTACTAGTTAAGCCACATGTCCAACCCCAGGGTAACATCTTTGTCAAGGAAAACAATGTAGGCACTCTATGGTTTTTCTTTTAATATAGAAGGAGGCATGCCATCACGGATTACCATTTGTTCTTAATTTGAGGAGGCTTTTCTTCACAGAAAGAGCAGACTCAAGTTTGAGTTGATATTACTTTTATGAACTTACAGAAGGATGAGAAGAGATGGAATGGAGTCTGAAGAAAAAGCGAACATACATCTCTCGGAATATCTGATATAATTTGTAAGGTTCATGGTACAGAAAGCAGAGTGGCGCAACTGCAAGAAAAACAGCTCCTGAGAATACTGAAGAGCAAACGTGGAAACAAACATTACATAGTAACCACAGTCAATCAGGTTGCAAACCATACATTGTTTTCTAATTTTGAAAAGGATATATACGTGTGTGTGTGTGTGTGTGTGTACATTTATATATATATATATGCATGTAGGAAAGGTCAGTTAAAAACTGTAAAGAAAGTGTTAAGTTACAAATACTATATTCCCAACTTAACAGTAGATTAAGAATGATGTAAGGGGATTATGTGGGAATAGTAAAACTTCCAAGTAATTTCAAAGAGCTACCTGTGGTCAAATCTTTTTAAAAAAGAAATAAAAAGCTCCATCAGCAAGTTAACAATTCGACAATTCGTTCTGCTTCTTCCATTCTGAGATGGGCTCTCATTAGCTCACCCAGGCTGGCCTTTAACCTGAAGTTCTCCTATCTCAGCCTTCAGAAGGACGATTGTTTTACTTTGTGTCCCAAAGAATTCTAGCTACTTTTCAAACACTTTCAACTCTGAATGTCAGGTGACTTAAATATAAGATGCATTATAATAGCTTTTAGAATCAAGGCCTTCAATTAACTTGAGAAATTTTAAAAATTAAGTAAGTTGAACAATTCCTGCAGCTAAAATTACTGAAAGGATAAAAGGCCTTTTTATTCTATTTTTGGTGCTGGGGACTCATCTCATGGCCTTGCCATGCTCCAGCCCCTTTTACGATTGGTTATTTTTGAGGCAGGACTTTGCTTTATGTTCTGCCTGGTCTGTGATCCTCTTTCTTGTGGTTCCCTGTGTCCGCTGGAGCTGACAGGCATTGGTTGAGATGTGCTCTCATAAACATTTATGCCAGGGTTGGCCTCAAACTGTGATCATCCAATCTCCACTTCTCATGTAGCTTGGATTACAGGCTTGAGCCACTGTATCCTGCAAGAGCTAGTATTTTTAATATTAGGGTAGAAGTTTATATTCTTAACCACTTTAAATTTTGCTTATGCTAGAAGTCCTTATCATGTTGTATGTTTCATATGAAATTTTGATGGCTCAAGAGAACAGAGTATGCTGTAATTCAAGTCTGTGACTGATAGCATCAAGATAGCATCAGGTAAAGTCCCTAAGTGCCTTGCATTCTTTTCACTGCACGCTAGTTTTAAAGTTGTATATTAGGTCATTCACCATGACTGTCTGATGCTGCACACACAGTTTATAAAGGCAAATATTAGTTTAGTTTACTGCCGATTCCTGTTACAAAATATTCCTGTGTATTCTGAAGTTAATGGGTAGAAATAAAGGAGACAACATTAAGTTTAGACGGAACAAATGAAAACCTCAAAATTACGTGGCATTACAGTGCAGGGAATCCCTCCGCTTGTTAGCTTTGTTAAGCTTCCTCCATTCCTCACTGGACGACACGCAAGTCTGCCGCACTCTGACTCCACGCCTGCACCCGCATGCCCGAGGCGCTCAGCGCTCGCATGTAAGGGCTGCTGTGTATACACTGTACACAGTCTGGAGAAATCACAACCTTGAACTCTGTGAGGCCCCCCACTTCAGACTTTTTCTGACATACTATTTTTTAAAAAGACTCATTTGAGAATTGTTCAGAAATTCATGTAACTGGACTTTATACTCTTAGAGCTAAATATTAATATGTGTAATTCTATAGAAGATGGTAAAGTTTACAACTTTCATAGTATGTTCTATTTCTAGTTTGCCAAGATAACATCACCCACACAATTCTCATGACTATTTTCAGTTTTTTTTTAAAAGGATATGTAATAAAATAAACTCAATGCTTTAAAATGTTAAATGTGTGGACGGTGTGATATGCAGTATTATTTTTATGTTTAAATTTCCAAAATATAATAAGAATAATGAATACTTTCAAGCCTAACTTACCATACATGGAAAATCCATGAAAAGGGATAACACCTAAAAAAAAAGAATATTTGTTTTCAATGAGTAGGATATATGTATTTATTAGGCTGTTCAAAGGACAAAAACTGAAAATTTTATCCATGTCATAAAAACTTTGTGATATATTTGATAAAATATTTTGTCCATATATATATATGCTTGAGAACTAAAACAATGGCCTCAAAGTTAATAGACAGTATTATTTCTGAAACAACTTCATCTTGTTTATTAGAATTTAATCTGTGAAAATGAGTAAATGAATGAACAAATAGAGCTGGGGGCATGGTTCAACTGTTAGAGCTCTTTTCTAGCATATACCAGTCCCTTAGTTTAATCCCCAACACTGTGAGGGCAAACATAAAAAAAATCCAATAAGTGTAAAAAAAAAAAAAAAAGAATTTAATCTGTGAAGAGATTACTGAGCTTTTACAGGCACATCTTTATTACTGTCACTTTACAGAAAACAGCAGTGTTTAGCAACACTACTAAAAGTTGTATCATGGGAGCAGTTTAGAAGAAATATTGCTGGGAACATAGTACCGATTCAGTATCTGGCAAGGATTCTATACACATATACGTAGTTGTCAAAAAAATATTCTAAGTTTAACCTCAGCATGCTAACATAATACATATATAAATATGTATATATATACATATATGTATGTGTGTATATATATATGTATATGTGTGTGTATATATATGTATATATATATGGTGGTGGTGAGGATTGAACTCTGGGCCTGAGCACTGTCCCTTGACTCTTCAGCTCAAGGCTAGCACTGTACAACTTGAGCCACAGTGCCACTTCTGGTTTTCTGGTGGTTTATTGGAGCTAAGAGTTTCATGGATGGGCTGGGAAGGTGGCTCAGTGATATAGAGTGCTTGCCTTACATGCATGAGGCCCTGGGTTCGATTCCTTAGCACCACATAAGCACAAAGAAAAAAAGCTGGAAGTGGCACTATGGCTCAAGTGGTAGACCGCTAGCCTTGAGCTGAAGGGCTGAGGGACAGTGCCCAGGCCCAGAGTTTAGGCCCCACAACCGGACCCCCCCTCAAAAAAAAAAAGAGTTTCATGGCCTTTCCTGGCGTGGCTAACCTTGAACCATGATCCTTAGATCTCAGCCTCCTGAGTAGCTAGGATTACAGGCACGAGCCACGGGCTCAGCTTCTTCTACTATCTAACAGTAAACTAAATCAATGTGAAATCAGTACAGAAGCTGAGAAGTTTACATCCCTGAAAAATAGTATAGAAGTGTTTTGTTTTAAGGCAAAAACTTCTTGTTGGTAGGTTATCTAGACTGTTTTATGAAGTAATAGGTAACAGTTTACAATATGTAATGTGCCCAGCAACAGAGGGCACATTAATTTCCAATATAACCAGTATAATTTGAACAGTTTTATTTGGGAATGGTTATTTCTTATTCTGGCTCTCTACAATGCCTATGTTGTACCCCTAATTTTGACTACAAAGACTACTAATTTACTTTCTATAGCACATGTAAACGTTCACAAATGTTTTCTGTCTCCTTTGCCCCATAACAATCAGGGATATTTTTCCTCTAAGACTGAGTTTCTTTTTCTTTTTTTTTTTAGGGTATTTACAACTTTTAAAGCGTTTTTATTGTCAAGGTGATATACAGAGGGTTACAGTTACATAAGTAAGGTCATAAGGACATTTCTTGTCAAACTTGTTCCCCCTTCCCTCATTTTTCTCCTACTTTCCCTCCCCTTCAATCCCCCCCACCCAAGTTGTACAGATCATTTCCAATATATTGTCTTGTGTATGTCGCTGTTGCGTTGGTTCCCCCTTGTCCTTTGTCTCACCATTCTGTTGTTCCCCTTTCCTTCCCTAATTCAAATAAATGTATATACAATAAGAGGGTACATACCATGGTGGAGGGAAACATACGAAAGAAACAAAAACATCACATAGTACATTAAAAACAACAACAAAGAAAAACCTCTTGTGTCCATGTCTTGGAGTTCATTTTGCTTAGCATTTACCCAAATGATCATAAAGAAAAAAACATTAAAATACATATTTAAGGGTTCGTTTTCTTAACATCACATTATCTGACCTTTTCCGCTTGACTCATACATATACTAGATATTGCAAATAAGGGAAGACTGAGTTTCTTAAAATGTTTTTCAAAGGAACTTCTCCATTTTATTTCCCTCTGGACAAGCTACAGTCCAAGCATCTTCCCTCCCTGTGGATCCACAGCAAAGCTGGCCCATCTGGACAGTTGTTTTTGGACTTCAAGAAAGGATTGCATTCTTATCTCTATTATGTTTGTGAACCATTCCAGTTGGAGATAATTCTGGTTCTCATTCTGTTATCTGTGGTCCCTATTCTTCCAGGTTCCACATTACAGTAAAATTTGATATAGACACTATCTATGTCCTCATCTAAGGGAATATAAAAAACGCAGAATAAGGCAGGGTGAGAGCAGTAATTGTCACTGGAAACCTCTTTTCTTGTTAGTATCAGCTCATTAATCAGTACCCTATTGCAACAGATGAAAAAGCAAGGCTGGGGTTGGCCTGACTGCTTGGCTCATCAGTGGCTGTCACTTGAAAGTTTTAAGTGCCTTTGGGCAATTTTCCTAACTGCCCTAAGCCTCATTTTTCTTATCTGTAAGTCAGAGATAATGCTAGACCCTACTTAAAAGAGTTAAATGAGATAACGGCTCTAGATGAGTCATTAATCAATAGCTTAGGCTTGTAACAAATGCAAATTGTTGATATTAACTTTTATAAATGATTTCGTATTTGTTTCTAGAAGTAATTTTGTAAAAAATAAAACTGTGAGCCAGTCGGCCTCATTCTGGCAGCCGGGCTCTTCAGCTTTTGCATGTAGTAACCCAGGCTCTCAGGTCCCCATGTTCTTCTAGTCTTAGAGCACAGTGCACAGACTGACATCGTCCAGCTTTGGCTGGATACAGCATTGCTTATCCGTTTTCTTGTTCAGCTCTACTTGGCAAGCCGCTCTATTCTTTCAAGACCTTTCCACTTCTCTAGTGTGAAACACCTGCCTGTAGACCTTACTTCTGGCCTTCAGAGGGTAAAGTCACTACAGGAGCTCTCTGACTTGTCTGTCCTTTATCCTTCTTTCCCCTCACTTTCTGCTTCCAAGGGAGACATACCCCCTTCTTTTTTAGGCGCTAACATCTTTACCTGCATTCTGAATCCTGCTTCCATAATTTTCACAGTGAGCAAGCTAAGGGCACTCGGCACTGGGGCCTGTCAACTAAGACTGCCTTTTAATTCTTAAAGGACTATTTAAAAAACCAACAAGCAAATAATAATAATAATGTGGGACAGAGGAAATTAGTGGCCAGCAAAACTTAAAGTATTTACCATCTGGCTGGCCATGGAAAAAGTTTGCCAACCCTTGCTTTGGAATTCTGCCTTCGTGGACATCAGTCAACAAGTATATATTAAGCCTCTACTATGTGTGGGATACTATTCTAGGGACTGGAGCTGACCTTTTGTTAGGGAAAGTACAACTGTAACACAATAAGTAAATCGTGTCAGATAGTGATCAAGTGCTATGGTGAGAAATAATGGCAGGGAAGAAGGAAGAGGAGGAGGAGGCGGCCCAGGCTGGGGAAGGACAGAGGAAACCTTCCTGATAAAAGACATTGAAGCTGTGTGGGTGAGAATCACCAGAGAGGGTGGCGTGGAAGTGCTGGGCTTCAGGTCACTGCTGTCGTAAGCTGTATGCTTGCTGCATACAGCTAGCCATAAGGTAGACAGCGGTGAGATCTGTTTCTTACTCCGACTAACGGAGGCAAGAAGGCAAAACATGGGTGGTCTTACAGAAATTCCCATATCTTCAGTCTCTAACAACTTTCAACTAGAGCTATTGTAGTATGTTTACATATCATCATCACCACCACAACCATCATCATCAAAAATCCCTTTTTCCAGATCCTTTTTCTTCAAATGTAAAATCTTTCTCCTTCTTTTAAACCAAGGTTAACTTTAAAAAAGAATATTTGTATTTTCTCCCTTCAGTTTCTCCTATAACCTTAAGTAGTGTAGGAGGCTTTTCATCTCCACACCCCTTAACTTCCAATAGCTAATCCAGGGGTCTCCTCTGTAGCACAGTTAATGGCTTTGCAGCAGTGGAAAGATCCTTCACAAACTTGACCTTACCATGGTATATAGACCACCCTGCAGGTCAGACTTCTTGCCTCTTTGAAACTTCTGGGGCTTAGGTTTTCTCTTTCTCTCTCTCTCTGTCTCTCTCTCTTTGTTGTTCTTGAATAGTTCTCTTTAAGATCCTGTCATAATTTTCTCATTTTCCCTCTACAAGTATTCTTAATATTAATCTACAATCCAGTACTTTGACTCTTGCTTGGCAGGTACTCTACCAGTTGAGCCATGTCTCTAGCCTGACTTTTCACTGGTTACTCTTGGAGATTGAATCTGTGGACTTTTCTGCCTGGTCTGGCCTTGAACTGCAATCTGGACCTCAGCTTTCTTTTTCTTTGGTCAGTAGTGGGTCCTGAATTCTGGGCCTGGGCACTCTCCCTCAGCTCTTCAGCTCAAGACTAGTGCTCTACCAATTGAGCCACAGCGCCACTTCCAACTTTTTCTGCTTATGTAGTGCTAAAGAATCGAACCTAGGGCCTCATGCATACAAGGCAAGCTCTCTGCCACTGAGTCACCTTCCCAGCCCATGGATCTCAGCTTTCTGAATAGTTAAGAGTTACAGGTTTGAGCTACTGGTGTTCAACTTGGACACCATTTCTATAAATGACTCTACCTTGCTCTATTAGTCAGCGAGCCACTTTTGCTGTCTAATTCTCCCTTACATCTAATATCTAAATGTCATATGCTCCTTTTTGGTCCTTGTAGGACAGTTAACTCTTCAATTAATGCTGGAAGCTTCATTTCTCTTCACTGTCTTACAAATAAGATTGTAACCCTCTCAAACGTTTGTCTACCACCTCTTCATCCCGAGCATAGGACCTGGCCATAAGGCAAGGCTTTCCTCTACCTCCAGC